GAGAAATAGCTCTGAACGAAGAGCGTAACTGCCAGGCCATGTGGCAGCTGCCAGTTTTATTTTTTGTGGTGTTGTAGACCTTGCACCTGCTAGTTAAGTACTCTATCCCCGAGCTAGCTACACTCCAGACCGGGTTGACAGTTCAGCTTTCAAAAGCTGTTTTTGTTTGGTGCTGGGAACTGAACCCAGGGTTCTCACGCTGAGATACATCCCCAGCACTATGAGACAGGGTCTAAGCCACCCAGACTGGACTCACACTTTCGATCCTTGTCACAGTGCCAGGCTCTTTGCTGTTTGTTTGATACAGGGTCTCAGTGTGTAGCTCAGGCTGGCCTTGAACACGTACTCCTTCTGCAGTCAAAAGCTTGGATTTTAACAAAACAGACTTAAGGGGCCAGGGATTTAGCTCAGTGGCACCATACCTGCCTCACAAGGGCAAGGTCCTGAGTACAATCCTGGTACCAAATATAAATAAATAAATAAAACCGAGTTGTGGATACAGCTCAACAGTAGAGCATTTGCTTGCCACACATGAGGCCCTAAGCTTAATCTCCAGTACTGCAATAAATAAATAAATTCTTTTAAAACAAACAAAGAAGACAAATAATTTCACCCCAAATGACTCACCCTCTCTCCCCTCTGGAGATTACACATCTGCTTTTTCAAAGGCCTTAGTGAGCACTCACCCAGACACCCACACAGCTCCTTGCGTCCTGGCCTGTAAGGATGCTCTGTGCCTCACTTATGGCATGAGTATGTAGTAAGAGCTTAGGACCCCTGGGGCTCAGGAGTTTATTTCTGTATCAGTGATATTTAGACAGGTTTAGATAGGGTCTCACTATGTTACCCAAGCTGGCCCCGAAAACCTGGGCTTAAATGATCCTCCTATCTCAGCCTCCCAAATAGCTGGGACTTTGAGATATGTGGCTTAGACTTTTTAAATGAATTATGAATGTGTGGCTATAATTAACCCGCCAAAAACCTAAGTGAACCACCAAATGCAATTTTTTTTCTTTTTGAGACGGTCTCACTGTACGTTTCAGGCTGTCCTTGAATTCACTATATAGGCCAGGCTGGCCTCGAACTTGAAGCCATTCTCCTGCCTCAGCCTCCCAAGCGCTGGGATGACAGGAGTGCATCACCACGCCTGGCTTGTCTTTCCTTTTTTTGGGGGGTGCAGGGGTACAGTACTGGAGATTGAACCAAGGGCCTTCACACTGAGCTACAGTTAACATCCTCAGCCCTTTTGAGACAGTGTATTGCTAAATCACTAAATTGCCTATACTGAGCTTGACCTTTCAACCCTCCTGACTCAGCCTCACAAGGGGGAAGAAATCACAGATTTGAGGCCAAGCACTCAGCCAACATTTTTTAAAAAATTACCCAGCTAGGCTGGGTGCGGGGCAGCATACCTGTCAACCCAGCACTTGGGACACTGAAGCAGGAGGGCCACCCTGAACTATATAGTGAGTCAGCCTGAACTACTGTACAAGGCCTTGTCTCAAAAAAAAAAAAAAAAGTACCAAATTACTCAACTATTTTCTGGTTTTATTCTTTAAACCAGAGACTCAGACAAGAGAAAGTAGTTCAAGGAAAAAAAGCAAGCGGCCTCACAGACTGATGAATCCCCCACACCAGACCTTATAATCCTTATGAAACTCAAGATAGGTCTTTGGTATGTTCAAGAAAAACTACCACAGACTTCAAATTGCCAGAACCACTTCTCACTGATCTAAAATTGTAAAAATAATCTGGAAACAATATACACACTTTAATAAAAGGACACATACATCTAATTTTGAAACTAAACTATCTTTGGTGATCAAATATGGCCCCCAGGAAAACGGCCTTTAGATACTAAACAAATTGTTGCAATACTAGTTATAGTTTAGGGGGCACAGAGCAGTTCAGTGGGAGAGTTTGTGCAGGTTCACAGTCTTGGGTTCAATCCCCACAAGGAAATTTGAAGGAAACAAACAAAAAGTTATATTTCAGTATCTTTAGTAGATAAGATGTTTAAGGAGAAGCAAGAAAAATAAATTTCAGCTGGACACTACTTTCAGAAGATATCTAAAAAACAGCAGTTAGCCGGGCGCACGCCTGTGATCCCAGCACTCGGGAGACTGAGGCAGGAGGATCGCTTCGAGTTCAAGACCAGCCTGGGCTACATAATGAGACCCTGTCTCAAAAAAACAAAACAAAACAAAACAAAAAAACACCAGTTTAAATGTCTAGCTTTCTATTTAGTAACTGCAAAGGAATCACCTGCAACATGTTGTCAAGGACTCAGCAGATCATAACTATCATTAACTATTTTATTTTATCTTTGGTACCTGGGATCAAACTCAGGACCTCGCACTTGCAAGGCAGGCATGGAAACACTGAGCTAAATCCCAGCACACGGGAGGCTGAAGCAGAAGGCTCGCCTTCAAGGGTAGCCTGGGCTACAAAGCAAGACCCTGTCTCAAACAAACAAATAAGAAACAAAAAATTTACCTTGTGCGCTGGCTCCAAATACACATCTGCTTCTCCTCACTACCATTTCAGCACCAACTCACTCTTTTAACAGATGTAAGCTACTTGTTTTACCTAAAACTGCCAAATGCTGCAGCAAAAATCCGAAGCCTACTCACCTCCACAGGGCCAAATTTTTCCAATAACGATGCATAAACTCCAAACTACTGTTTACCTTATTCCAAACCACTGGAAATGGTAATCAAATCTCTTTCCAAGGACTTTGCAACCAATTCAGACCCTACAAAACCCTACTACCTGCAAAGGTTCTTTGAAAAAGTCAAACAGAAGGTCGGTCACAACTTCATGGGCCACAAATGCTAACATTAAATGGTAGAATTACTCATCTTTCAAAGCTCACAAGTGAAATAATGTGCTGACAAGTCCAAGAGGCAGGAACCCAAATCTCGAGGAAAATTCATCACTCCCCAGGGGCCATCAAGAGTGATAGGAAGATCTGAAAAGGTGAACACGTTAGCAAGGAGCTGCCCCAGACCAAAGAAAACTTCCACAAGCTCTTTTGGAAGAGCATTTCTAACACCCACACCTTGCTAAAGCCTAAAACAGACAAGATGCTACCTTCTGTACACCGGAAGAAGGCTCTTTCCCCTGTACGGACTCCACCTGGCCCTTCCTGCAAATCTTATCCAGGGTGTCTAAAAGAGAAAAAAAGAAAGAAAGAAAAAAAAAAAAGTACAGATGGGAAATCAAAGTCTTACCAGGCATTCTTGTCAGTGCCAGAATTTAAGAAAAATGAAGCCTGTTGTGATGGCACACGCCTGTAACCCCAGAACTTTGGAGGCTGAGGCAAGAGGATCACTGCAAGTTCAAAGCCAGGGTGAATTACATGAGACACTGTCTCAAAAACAAGCCTCCAAAACTCTACAAATACTAGGAGCTAAAGTAACTTTTTGCTATACTACACAAGTTCTATGAGGAGAAACAAAAAAATGAAAATAATCTGGCACCTCTCAGCTTCAAAAAGGGGAGGTGATTCTCAGGCTGACTCAAGCTCCCAGAAAATAGGAAGACTGACACTTCAGTGCCTAGTACAGTCAAGGTGAAGCCTGGTAGTAAACACCAGCCTATAATCTCAACTACAGAGTACTAAGGCCAGCACAGCCTCCGTTCATTCAAATGCCAAACACTGGGAGCCATCCACAGGTGATAAAACAGGCAGGACAGCACCTGCCAGCATCCCTGAGGCCTTTCCATGTCCCCACTGTGAATGAGTCTCTGGTTCCCCACACTTCACTACCTGTCCGAGTCCCTGCTACAGCTACATACATCCCTGCAGACCAAACACAAAGCGTCACCCAACACATAGTAGTGGGACTGTGAGCGCACCAAGGAGCTTCCCAAGCACAAACACCCGGGGAGAAAAGCGTTCTGTATCGGAGCCCTAACTGCTGAGGGCAACTCTCATTTTCCAACGGACCCCAAATTTTCCATCACACCACCCATTTTAAAAGGGGAAGCATCCAGAAAGACGTACCCAGAAACTGATCCTGCCTAGCAGGCCACATTCTGCTCCCTAAGCAGCAACGGAACTGCAATTCTGGAAACACTGGGAGGATATACCTTACTCTCCCCAAGTTTGGAAATCAACAGTGCAAGAACATGCCTCGTACATCCCAAATAATTTATCCGGACAGGTGGAGCATTAGCCGGAGGCAGAACCTCACGAGTACCTTCGAAACTCTCCATCACTCAACTACTTGAAGAAAAAAGGTAGGAAAAGGTTTTAAGCACCCACGTTTTGGTCCCCACCTTGCAGATTACAGCGCCCCCAAACATCGAGCCACATCACACTTTGAGAAGATGCAAATCCTAAGCAACGTGGAAAACACTCAACTTAAAGAAAATCAACTGATCAAAACAAAAGGCAAAGTAAGCTGACCCAAGTTTGGAGCCCAGTCTGTTGGAGGCCTACGGACCCTAGATTTGGGAACCCCATGAACCCACAAAGGCTTCCTGTGCAATCCGCCTAGGGGAGTTTCCAGGGAGGGGGATCAAGTCTCTCCGTGCCCAGTCGAAGACAAAAGAGGAGAGGTTTCCCGCCTCAGGAACCTGGGACCGTCCGGGCACCAGGAGGGTCCGGGACAAAGAAGAAGAGGGGTCGCTCCAGCCTAGCCCGCCAGGATGCTCGGAGCCCTAGGGGGGTGTGTGCATCAGGCACGTGCGCGCGTGCGCGAGGCCAAGCAACAGACAAAGCCCTACCCGCGGGAGGCGGCGGCTGGGGGTCCGTGCCGCCATCTTGTTTCCTCGGCACAATGGGGGAGAGTAACGGCCGAGAGCCGGAGCGACGCGGGCCAGGAGAGAGCAGCCGGAGGCCAGGGCGAGGAGGACGGGTAGAGGACTGGGCTGCGGAACGTCATCAACCTTGTCACCGCCAATGCTCAGCCGGGGCCCCCCTGAGAGGGGAAACAGACGGGGGGAGGGGCAGAGGCAGGAGCGGGCCGGAGCGCCGCCACATTGACGCTTACCTTCTTGGCGTCCCCTTCCCCGACAGCAGCCGCTGCTGCCTCCTCCCTCCTGCCACAGCCCACCGGGGTCTGCCCCCAAAAGCCACGCGGTGTGCGCCGGGCTGCTGAGTCCAACTGCAATGGCGAGAAGAGGAGGAGGAGCCGGGAGCGAGCGGGATGGTGCACGGGCGCGCGCCGGGGAGGTGCGGGGCCACGTGACCGATCGGAGCCCCGCCTCCTCGTCGCGTAACGGCACGACGCAGGCCCAACCCGAGTGAGAGGGCGGGGCGAAGAGCGAGAAGTGGGCGTGCCCACACGTGTGATGCGCGCGTAGGCGCTGCGTGACGGGTCACGTGGCTCCAGTACCGGTCTCTTCCCCTCGACGTCGTCGCTTAGTCATGTGACAGTGGCGAATGCAAAGTCCTACGTCACCACGTGAAGAAGTCTTTTACGCCTTATTTTCTTCCTATTAGTAGGCCTCTATCACGTGATCAAAAGGGCCATTCATTTTTCTCAATGGCGGTTTCTAGCGGCCATTACCACGTGAGCCGCGCCGAGGGGCGGCCCTTGCGACCGCTGCGCAGTTGTACGCCTGCGCGGCCGCCATCTTATCCCCGTCGCCATGAGTACGTTGGCGGAAATGCCTCAGAGCCTGGCACGTGCGTGCCTGGATTCGGGAATTGGGGCCCAGCGGGGCTACCGTTTCCAACAAAAAGCGGTCACCGCAGTCCTCTCGTCTTCTGCTAGAGGCGGAGAGGTAGGGCGGAGCTGCTTGCTGGAGGTGAGCGCCCAGCTCTTCATCCCCGAGCGCCTTGCTGTGCAGCGCTCGCCTCCAGCCCTCCCGGAGCCTCCAAAGGCGGCAGGCGAGTGCTCTGGATCCTGCAGCTCGCCCCGACCCCGGCTTTGTGAATGCTGGAAAAACTGATGCTCAGACCGGAAAAGACGGCAGGGCTTCCCGTCGGTTTGGGGAAGGCGCGAACTGGGACCCCAGGTTGCTCGGCTCCAGAGTAAAGGCCCAGTGGCCTTTTTGTTGTTCTTTTGGTGTTTTTGAGTTAAGACCTTACTATGTAGTTAAGGCTGCCCTTGAATTCGGGGGCAGTCCTCCTGCTTCAGCCTCCCCATTGTTGGATAACAGGCCAGCGCCACCACGCCTAGCTCGAGAGCGCCCCTTTCGTTCGTTTGTGGGTCAGAATCCCGGTATGTAGTTACACTGGCCTTGAACTGTGTAGTCGAGGCTGGTCTCACTTGACAGTGGTCTTCCTGCCTCGGCCTCCCCAGTGATGGAATCCTTATTTTTGTTGTTTAGGTTTTGGTTTTTGAGACGGTCTCGCTATGTAGTTAAGATTGAAGTGGAACTATGTAGCCCATGCTGGTCTCGAACTCACAACTGTCGCGAGCACGAACAGGAGTCGGATCCCAGGCTGTGAGCACTTAAACGTCTCACTCGCCTCGAGGTAATGAAAACTACAAGTGATATGTCTTTAAAGGGGTTTTATTGTCACACAAGCAATGCAAAGCAATATCAAAGCAAATGTCACAACCACAATCAGGAGAGCATTCTAGTCCTTCCCCTCAGTATCGAGACAGATGCAATACTGAGGTATAAGCTGTAACAGGGTTATACGACCTGAGTCCGTGACACCGAGCGCCGGGCTGTCGGGCAGAGATTCGAACTGCAATGTGACGATCAGCTCCGGTTCCAGCAGGGCC